TTCACTTCATGGTTTAATGTTACTTCCTCTTGTTGTTTCTATGTTTTTACGTCTGCCTCTTCCCGCCCTCACCATCGTCCTGACTGAGGTCACCTGTCGTCTGTGTCTTTGTTCTGAAACCTCTCACACTTTTCTCTTCCTGGCTGCTTTTGGGTAATTATTGCTGTTTTTATTTCATTAATTAATTCATTGGAATAAATGGCGTGTTTAAGGACTACTGAGTTTCTGTGCCCTGAATGCTGACCCACTTGCTCCCCTTCTTCTTGCATGTGAACGGACTTCTGGTGGAGGTTTGGATCCTACAGTTTTAGCAGTTACACACACAGATATACAAATAAATAAATATATTAGTACAAGTACACGACAAAATATGACAGTAAATTCCTAAGCTCTCTCACCGAGTTGAAAACCAAAGAATAAAAATGAATCTTAAAGCACACTCTGAAAATCTTGAGGGTGAGTTCAAGCGTAACATGTGGAGGTAACTCATTCCAGAGTTTGGAGGCTTTGGCTGAGGAAGCTCAATCCCTCTGTTTCCAAATCTATCCTTCAAAATACAGGAGATAAGATAAAATAAGAAACCACAGTGGGCTGGGAGGTCAGTTCCTTGATCATTAATATTCAAATTCTTATGACCATTGATCAACAACCACTGATCAATGGCCATAAGTACCGTTTACAGAGTGCTGGTGAATGGCTGCAATCACAGCATTGTAAGATGGTGACAGACCTCCCATTGTTCCTTCAGTGTTTCAGTCATTATGCAGATGTCCTGATTATAAGGTTGGGGAAACCTGCAGTCAGCTGAGACTGAAGGAGTCACTTGGATGAGTCACAAAACGTTTGTCCCACTGAAAACGTTCAGATTAACAGAATCAACCTTTTAAGATTTACTTACCTGACTGACTGAGAATGCATCAAGACATAACGAAAGTACAGTTCAACTCTGGACTTCAGATATGGACTGCAGCCCGCCTGTTGGCCACCAAGGCTCTATGATGTGTTGCACTGAAGTGTTAAACAACACCCAGTGGTACTGGGAGCTGCACATAAACCACAGGTGTTAAAACAAAATCAGCACCCATCTCTGTTTCTGCTGACTCGTGGTTGGATCACATCCTGTGAGCTCAACAGAAAATGCTTTGCACCATGTTGGTGCTCAGTGCTTTTAACACCTGATAAAAGAGAGATAAGATGAAATGTTCTGCTGAGAAAAGTATTTTTATCTCATGTGTGGAGAAACACAATTTAATAAAAGCACCGATGTGGTGCCGTCCACAAGAATATGAACTAAACATGAGCAGGTTTGCAGAGGAAGAGGACGAGCTGACCAACTGTGGAATAATAATACTAATAATTTTATTAGCACACTAAATTTATTATTGTTTGTTCATAGTTAAAGGAAGTTTGTTCCAGTGTTGCAGCTGAGAGAGTCAAAGCATGGTCCACCTTTGTTCCAAGCCTCGAGTGTGGAGCCTGAAACATGAGGCGATTCTCAGGTGACACTTTTAAGGTATTTGGAGTTGTAAAGTGGAT